TGGAGGTGCCCAGTGCTCTGGGGGAGCCCCACATCCCTGCTGGCACAGCTGGCCACAGGCAGTGACCTGCCCCAGGTCTAGGTGGCAGCAGGAAGAGCTCTTGGTTGCCCCAAGGGACTTCTCATTCCCGTCTTTTATCCCTCTCACAGTGTTGCTGCCCCCTGAGCTCAGGAGAAGCACAGCTTGCAAGAACTGAACAGGAGAAAGCTCCAGTTGGTGGACTTACACCAACAGTCTCCCCAAACCCAGAGCTGCAAGCACAGAACCACCCCCCCAGCTCAGAAAAACAATGAGCAACGAGCTATAGGATCAACACCACCAGGCCCAGCTAGAACTCGACACAGCCTGCAGAAGAGGGCTGCAGGGTCTGGCCAAGCTTTCATTTCCATTTTTAATATAGTGCCTCTCTCTTTTCAGCCTGCAGCAGACTAGGCAATACACATGGCAACACTCTTCAGATCTGGTAAGAGCCTACTCTATTTGTGGGCAAAGCTGCATTCCCTGCCTCTCTTCTAGCCACATGGGCATAGCCAGGCTCCACAGGAAACCATGCCAAGACCAAGACTGCTCTCTTCAAGGGTTGACTGGACATGACCAAATTTATTCTCACATTTATGTTCCTTCACTACCTCCTCCCCACCTCCTGTCCCACAGACAACAGGGTGGCTTCTCATCACTCTTCTCCAGGTTATAAGGCATTACTCTTTCTCCCACCACTAGCATAACTGATGAGGGTAACTCACCTGCTTCAAGTGCCACAGAGGGCTTGAGTGCAGCTGCTGCCAGCCTGGCCATCATAGGAGAGATTAATCCCTTGCTAGCAGAGATCCTTTCCATTATAGATGCTGCTGGAGCTGGGGAAGAAGTAGCTGCTGGCTCGCCAGATCCTGATATGGCCTGGGATGAGGAATCTGTAGAAGCAGATGATGTTGGATTGGTGCCAGAAGAACCAGCAGTCATCAGATTAGCTGAGCTGGCAGGAAGTGGTGTAGAGACCCGACTGGGGATGATGGGGAAGAAGGATCCAGCTGTTCCAGGAAGTGCTGAGTTGGAGAGTGCCAGGGCCAAGGGTATATTGCTGGGAAGAGCCTGAGAGAGCAGGCCAGAGATCTTGGTGGCTGGTGTCATGCTGTTGGCAGACTTGCTGGCCTGTGAGGAAGCGAGCTCAGCAACAGAGGAAGGTGCAGCTGGGACTATGAGAGAAACGGAAGACTGTTGACTAGTGGGGGAGGCACTCAGGCTGGAGTTCTTTGAGCTCATAGCGGAGAAGTCAATAAGGTCATCATTACTGGACTCCTCTTGCTCATTATCCTTGGACCCCAGAAGAGAGGCAGGCAGGCCCAGCACTCCCGAGCTCCGGATGTGCCGGCGCTCATGCTTGCGTTTATGGGAGGTCATCTGGCTGGTGGAGGTGAAGGTGAAGCCACAGCCTGCCCTTATGCAGTGGAAGTGATTGGTGGCCTTGCTGTAGACACAGCCCTCATACTTGCATTCCTCATACTTGTAGAACTTCTTGAAGCCGTCCTTGGCATAGGCATCATCTTTGATGTGGTAGCTCTTGTGCTTCTCAATGTCACACTTGTTCTTGAAGGTGAATGTACACCCAGGTCGCCTGCAAGGGCATCGAGGAGAAGAGGATGGTTGGCTGTGTGGGCTAAGAGCACAGTGCTAGGACCACAACTGCTGTCACCTGCCTCCCTCCGGGATAAGGACTGGGATCAGTACGGGACAATGGCCCTGGCAGCAGAGGGGTTGAGGAGCATTATGTGGGTTAACCCGTGACACCAAGGCAAGCAAGAATGCTGCCATGTGAGAGAGCTGGGAAGCTCGCTCCACTCTGAGGAACAGCCACACTAACACTGGGATGTAGGCACCCACCACTAAAAATTCCAACCAAAAGAACAGCTACAGAGAACTAAGGTACAAACTGTTTTCCTACTCTTCCTGAGAACGTGAGAAATCAATAGAAGAGCATTTGTGTACAGAGGGCAGAGTCTGGCCCTGCAAGGGATGAGCTGGCTGACTGTTGGTTGGAGAGAACTCTAGCATGGAAGTGCCAATAGCAGTGTATTAATGGACTGCTTCAGCTGAACTCTGCAGAGCACTGTGATCTTTCCCAAACGATTCTAGGATTTTCTAGTGGGTACCCTTTTCCTCAGATCACCTCAGATCACACTCCTGCCTCCAGAGCGCTCTGTGGCAAGATCCTGGAAACCACATCTGCCCTGGAACATGGGTTCTCTCAAGAGCAGTACTGAGAAGGTCACAGCAGGGAAAATCAAGTCCCTGTGTCTACTCCTGAGTTTGTGACACGGCAAGAGGCGGCAAACAGACCACACAACTCTGAGGCAGGATTCCTGCCCTTCCTGCTGTCTCACCTGCAGTGAAAGTGAGTGGTTTTCTGCCCGTAGAACTGGCATTCCACAGTGCCGCAGTCCTCTGTGGCACGGAACCGCTGGAACCCGTCGTTGATGAGCTGCGTGTTCTTCTTGTGAAAGTTCTCATGGGTCATCACGTCCGAGGTGCTTGTATAGACCTTGTTACAACCCACCTACCCCAGGCCAAAACAGAGAGTCATCAGCACAGCGTTTTAACAGCCTACCATTATTACCAGCAATAATAAACACATGAGCAGCACACATACATTTAATGGTTCCATTTGTGCACTTCTCCTAGGAGTATTAAGTCATCTCTTTAATCCCCAATCTAAAGACTGAAAGAGCAGTTGTGAAATAAATAAATAAATGAAACAACTCTCTGGGCAGGAAACAGTAAGGAAAAAAGGGCAGGATGCAAAGGGATAAAAGACCAGCTACAGATCATGCCTGCTTAGGGAGGCAGTAAGCAGGGTTCCCACTCTTAAGGAGAAAAGAACACTGACAGATGCCATTACTTTTTGTTATCACGGAGCAACACAAAATAAAATAGAGGAGTTTCATCTATCTGGGGAATACAAAGTTGAGTGGGAATGAGTTATTTACCTCTAGTCCTTCTGGGAGGCAAGGCAGGGCAGTGCAACATGAGGCAAATCTTTCTGAGCTTGTAATATACGGGTTTCATTCTAGCCAAGCATAAACCCTCTGTTCAGCTGACCTTAGCAAACCAGAGCCTTTTCTCCCCCGTCACTGTTCAACACTACCACTCCAATAATGTGAAACTCGTGCAGCAAATGGGAATGGTGTGACGAGGAGGGAATGCTGAAAACCTGCCTTCCTCTGGGCAAAGCGGGCAACTTTGCCATATTGAGTAAAAAAAACCCTGGAATCTGAAAACGTCCTCAGCCCTGCTGAGGGAGGGTTTTTTTTTCCCTTTTCTTCTCTAGCACAACGTGTGCCAATGCCTGCACCATCTCAGAAGTGAAGAGAACGAAAACAGCACCTCTTAGTTCAGCCCAGGTTGATTCAAACAGGCAATAACAAACCCCGTGATAAATACCCAGGAAAAGAAAAAAACAACAAGGATCTCCAGCTATTTCCAATATAAAAGAGCCTCTCTCTCTCTGCACTGACACCTTGAAAAAAGACAGACCCTGCACGGCATTAAAAAAAAGAATTAAACAAAAACCTCCTTAGGAATAATTTGCAATGCAGCTCTTGGTGCTAAAGCCTAAAAAAAATGTCAGTTCATATAAACAACTAACTGAATTTTATCCACACCAATTATGGACATAAAGAAAAAAAAGAAGCCCATGAGATGGATGGCACAAATTCTGCCATTTAAGCAGTATTTTCTTTAATTGGGAGTTTATATTCAGACACCTTTCCTGTAAGACACTGCTTACATGGGCATTATTTTACTGGAAGGCAGTGGGCACAGGATGGAATTAGCCATATATAGTTGTGTCAATGAGGGTCTCTGTTTGAACTTCGAGTGACTTAAAGCTGTGAAACACTCCTTGTACTGTAAAAAATATAATTCAACAAATCCCATCCTGGTCAATTGAAAGAACTAAACAGTCAATAATATGGAAGCATAACAGAAAATGTCCTCAGGAGAAAGGCACATGAAGTTCCCAATTTATCAAATGTTGTAAGCACATGCTTAAACCAACCCCTATTCAGGACAGTACTTGAATGCATGCCTAACATTTAAGTATGTGCTTAAGCCCCATTGACTTCAGAAAGCTTACCTGACTTCAAGTTAAACATATGCTGAAGTCTATCCCAGCAAACTATTTAAGCATGTGATTAAGGCCTTCTGGCTTTAACTGGGGTCTTAAGCTCTTGAGATAGGGCAGGAAGCAAGACCTGAGTTTTCAGGACAGAAAAGCTTTCACCAAAGGTTGCCTGATTATTCTGTTTGTAACTACAGCACATTCTCATGGCAATTGTTTAGGCCCCAATTCTAATGAAACAAGTACACATCAAACCCTCTAATCTGAAGAAAACCAGGGTAAGACCCAAACAATCTGGTGTGTCTGTGCCTAAAAACAGTCACTAAGGCATCACAGTCACATTTATGCAGCAACTCCAACTCTGCTGTTGAAGCCTGTCTGTCTCTTGAAACAATGTCCCAGCCTACACCACAGGCAAGTACCACTGGTGAAGGAGATGGAGAACCAGGGGTGTTAAGTCTAGATAGGTGACATAAAGTTTAATTACGTTAGAAATTGATTATGGAGGAATTTAACCCAGTGTTAAAGGGCACATGTGTCACAGAAAAGTCTGATTTCAAGGGAGTGACAGATCAGATTTGAGTAGAGGCGCTGCAGTGGCATTGCTGAGAGGTCCCTGAACCTCAGAGAACAGGACTCGCTTGAATAAGTTAAGTCCAAGACTGTGAGAAAACCTTGAGACCTGCTTTGCTTCACTGCATGCACAAGGCTTCTAAAAACAGAGCATGGTGCCTCCCTTCACCCTTCCCAATGCTGGGCCGGGGAAGCGCAGTGAGAACAGGGCACAGACTCTTCGAAGAGGTGCCTGCATCAGAAGTGAGCAAGGGAGGCTACAAATGTCACTCCCTCACCTCAAGACAGCCCCTTGCTCTCTACTAATGAGGCACTGAGCTGCCAGAACTCAAAATCCTTTCAGTCCACCTGGAAAAGGACACAGCTCCAACCATTGCTCTTCATTTGCCTCGTGTGCTGCCATCTAGTCCCCATCCAGCAGTTACCTGCATGCAGTGGTAGTGTGTGCTTTTCCCATTCAGGTGGCAGCCATGGTAGTACACGCTACAGTCATCCAAGGGGCTGAAGCGCATGAAGCCGTGCTGGAGGGAATTATCCCGTTTCTTGTGCATGTTGTAATGCCGAATCACATCCTGTTTACTAGTGAACCTCTGGAGAGATACAGAGACAGACAGTGAGGCACACGTGATGGCAGTGGGTGAGTAATCCTAGGGGCAGGGTGGCTTTTGTTGTTGTTAATAAACTTAAGGTATCAGGAGTTTAAAGCTCAGCAGTAATCACCCCAAGAGAGTCAGATTAAAGAGGAATTGTGTGTATGTATCTTCTTGGTAAAGTATATACACGTGAAAAGCTGTAAACATGACATTGGGGTGATGTCCTGAATATGCTCCCTGCAGCTTTAAGACTGCAATTCTTCTAACATAATTTTAGCTGCTACTATCTCAAGAACTGCTATAGTTAGAAAGCAAACCAGTGAACTAAACAGCCTACAGGAGAGTAATCCAAGCCTCCAAATCACTCACTGTAGTGGTTAGTAAGACACTGGCTGCCACATTCATGTCAGACTAGAAATTGGGAAAACCACTCTGCTCTTTTACAGTATCTTCCCACTGTAAGGCTCCTGCCTCCCCTACAAGGTAGGATGGCTTTATTAGGAACACAGTGACACAGAAGTTTCTTCCAGTCAAAGAAAAAGATGGCAGCAGAGCTCACAGCTAAATCTGTATGACCAGAATACCCTTTTCATCCTCTACCTGCTTGAAGTAATGAAGGGGTACCCCACTGCCAGAGCAGGCTAAGTGCCTTTAAAATGAAGCTTTTCATTTCTATTTCCCACAGACATCAATATTTAACAATGAAGGTGGGAAAGTAAATCTGGGGGTTTTTTAAAGAAATCAATATCCATTTATTTTGAGGAGTAATTGAAAAGGCCTGTATTCTAATGTTTAACAACTTTTCTAGTCTCCCTCATAGGAAACAAATGATCATCACTTCCAC